AGGTGGAAATGATCCACTACATCGTGGGGCCGCCGAGGTTTCACGAGGTGACCACGGCCAACCTGGAGCGGGTGATGCGGCGCTTCAACGAGCTGCAGTACTGGGTGGCCACTGAGCTGTGCCTGTGTCCCGAGGTGGCCCGGCGAGCCCAGCTCCTCCGCAAGTTCATCAAACTGGCAGCCCAGTAAGTGCCCCTCCATCCCAGTGAATGATCCACTACATCGTGGGGCCGCCGAGGTTTCACGAGGTGACCACGGCCAACCTGGAGCGGGTGATGCGGCGCTTCAACGAGCTGCAGTACTGGGTGGCCACTGAGCTGTGCCTGTGTCCCGAGGTGGCCCGGCGAGCCCAGCTCCTCCGCAAGTTCATCAAACTGGCAGCCCAGTAAGTGCCCCTCCATCCCAGTGCCGCCAGGACGGAGCCACTGGTGGTGGCCTCATGGCCTGACCCCGTCCTCGCCCGCAGCCTCAAGGAGCAGAAGAACCTCAACTCCTTCTTCGCGGTGATGTTTGGGGTGGGCAACACGGCCGTCAGCCGCCTGGCCAAGACCTGGGAGGTAGCCACCATTGCCAGCGATGGGTCGGGGTCCCCTGGTTTGAGTGACAAGGGTCACCATCACCAGCCCACCCAGACATGCATTGGGGTACCCTGGTTTGGGTGACAAGGGTCACCATTGCCAGCATCCCCCGGGGATGAGTCAGGGTCTCCTGGTTTGGTTGACAAGGGTCACCATCACCAGCCCCCCCAGGGATGCATTGGGGTCCCCTGGTTTGATTGACAAGGGTCACCATTGTCAGCTTCCACCCAAGGATGTCAGGGTCCCCTGGTTTGGGTGACAAGGGTCACCATCACCCACCCCCCCAGGGATGCATCGGGGACCCCTGGTTTGGGTGATAAGGTTGATCCTGGGTGCAGGGGTCCAGGCTGAGCCTGCAATGGGGCAGGTGGAGGGGTGGTCTCTGGGGGGCCGGTGCCAGTGACCCCCTCTCTCTACGCAGAGGCTGCCCCATAAGATTCGGAAGCTGCATTCAGCGCTGGAGCGGATGCTGGTGAGCCCCTTATCCATCCCTCCATAGGGTTTGGAGAAAGGGAGGGCAAGGGTGGGGGTCACCCTGGATTGCTGGGGCTCTTAAAAGGGGTGCCGCAGAGGTGATGTGTCCCCTCTGGTGTCCCCTGTGGTGGAAAAAGTCCCAGGACCCGTCATGGACCCACCGGGTCTATCGCCTGGCTGTCGCTAAGCTGAGCCCCCCCATCATCCCCTTTGTGCCCCTCCTCCTCAAAGGTGGGTACTGCAGGTGGGGATGGCTTGGGCTGGGGGGGTCCCTGGGGACCAGGAAGCCAAATCTGACCCCTAAATCCCTTCCTCTAGACATGACCTTCATCCACGAGGGCAATCACACGCTGGTCGAAAACCTCATCAATTTTGAGAAGATGGTGAGTGTGGGGGGGTGGGCTCCCTGCAGACCCCCACCCAGGGGACCCGCTGTCCCCACAGCCCCTGAGATGTGGATCCAGAGCATCCCCATAGCGTTGGCGCAATCCCCAGCAGCCAGGACCCCCGGGGGGGAGGCACGGGGCGATGCTGAAGCCGGAGAGACCGCGTGTTTTCCCAGCCTGGGAGCAAAGTGGGGCCAGGTGACAGCAAGTGACCTTTGTGCATTGCCCACAGCACATGATGGCAAAGACCCTGCGTGTCCTGCAGCGCTGCCGGGGCCCAGCGCATGGTGAGTGCTCAGAGGGGTGAGGATGGGGACAGGGACCAGTTGGGGACGGGGCTCAGCTCCTGCTCTGTCTCTCTCTGCACCCAGCTCCGCTCTCCCCGCTGCGAAATCGCTCCCCACACCGGCCCGAGGACCCCAAAGCCGTCCGGATCTCCACGTGTACGTCTGGGGTTCCCCTACCCCTGCACTGTGGGACCCCTAGCCTTTGGGGGTGCACGCACCCATCATCCTTGGGCAGGGGGGGGTTCTATGGGGATGTTCTGAGGACATCAGCCTTGGACCAGTGGGTAAAAGTGGGTCTGGATGCTGGTGGTACCCAGGGATGGAGGAGAGGCAATGGAGGGGATCCCTGAGGTGATGGGGAGGTGATGGAGGGGATCTGTGATGGAGGGAGAGGTGATGGAGGGGATCCATGAGGTGATGGAGAGGATCCCTGAGGTGATGGAGAGGTAATGGAGGGCATCTGTGATGGAGGGAAAGGCGATGGAGGGGATCACTGAGGTGATGGAGAGGCAATGGAGGGGATCCGTGAGTCTAGCCCTGCTCTCACTCCTCCCACAGGCTCTGAGCAGTCGCTGAGCGTGCGCAGCCCCGTCTGTACCTGGGCCTACCTGCAGCACCTGAAAGCCATCGACAGCCAAAAGGAGCTGCTGCGGCTCTCCCATGGCCTGGAGTCCTGACGGGGCCGCGGGATGCCCGGGATGCGGGGATGCCCAGGATACAGGGATGCCTGAGATGCCCAGGATGCAAAGATGCCACAGCCCAGCCGCAGGGGTGGCTCTGCTCCTGGTGGCACTGGGCTATGCTGGAGCCACACTGCCACCTGTGGGTGCCATGGCCAGCACCGTGAGGCAGCCGGGAGCCCAAATGACCACGGGCAGGCGATGGCCATGGACCTTGGTGCAAGCAATAGAGGTATTTTTGTATGCAAGGCTGCCGCCAGCTGTGGGTGCCATGGCCAGCACCATGAGGCAGCCAGGAGCCCAAATGACCGCAGGCAGGCGATGGCCATGGACCTTGGTGCGAGCAATAGAGGTATTTTTGTATGCAAGGCTGCACTCACCGTTATTCTCCATGCAGGGGCCTGGGTCCGCTCCCTGCACCGGCTGCGGGGAGGACGGAGCCACGGCTGCCCCCTGATGCTGCCACTTGCTCCCCAAGCCAGAACATCCTCACAATCAGGGGACACCAGGTCTGGCTCCATTGGGATGCACACACCCAGTTTGGGGCTCTGCTGCCCCATGGATCCTGGTGGGAAGCCCAGGATCTCCTCGAAGACTGTTTGGGCTTAACCAGCCCATGTTGCTAAACCTTAGGCTAATCACAGCCTTCTCTGTGCCTCAGTTTCCCCACATGGATGAGGACAAGAATAGCCACATAGATGCGGGGGCAGAACAGCGTCTGTCATGGAAGGGAGCTGTGGTGGCCTCATGATGATCTGTGCTGGCTGTTCCCAATCCGTCCCCCATTGCCACTGGGTCACAAGCAGGGGTTTGGGGGAGATGAAGGAGCTGATGGGCCCAAGAGGTGGGGACCCCAATCCCACCCCCCTCCAGAGCATCTCTGCATGCAGCAGTTTCAGCAATCACCTTCCCGATGCTCTGAGCAGGCCGAGGTGAAGCTCCAGGGTCGGGGCGGACATTGCTGCCCCAAAAAGCCCCCACATTTGCAGGGCATTATCACAGAGCCACAGAACCCAGCCGCAAGCCAAAGCGCCCCTAGCCTTGCCCCAGGCACTGCTGCGTTAATTGCTCTTTTCAATCTCACTCTGCAAGTTAATGGGTTGCTTAAAATAAAAGTCCCCATCACACCTGAAAAATGCCTCAAGCCATGCTACGAGGTGGGATGCAAGGTCCTGACAGCTCCCAGGCTATGAGGAGCATCCCACTGGGGAGCTCGACGTGGTCCATGCACCTCCATGAGCCTGGATCCTCCTCAACCCTGGATCCTCAACCCTGGATCCTCTTCAATCCTGGATCCCCAACCCTGGATCCTCAACCCTGGATCCTCCTCAACCCTGGATCCTCCCCAGGCTGCATTTTCCACAGGAGCAGGTGAAGGTGCAATTCCCATGGAGCTGCAGAAGCCCCATGAGGTCCCAAGGGTGAAGGAAAACCTGGAGAAATCTGGGAAAGGGCAATGGGTCCAGGGGGATGCAGGAGGAGGATGGCAGGAGAGGATGGAGCTTGGTGTCAGGCAGTCCCACTCATAGAAAACTCTGAATTATGCAAAAATAAGAGGCTGGATCCCTGCCTCGAGTAAGGCCATGGGTGATGCTGGGGTCTGGACAAGGGTGCAATGCAAGGGGCAAGAGGTGGCGGTGCTGGGTGCAGGAGGGGACGTGGCTGCCCTGGCTCCCTTCCTGCATTCCTGGGACTGTGGGCTCAGCACGTGGGCAATTCCCATCTCCTCAAACCAATGCAATGGAGCCGGCCCCAGGGCGCTTGACTCACCTCCTGCAACAGGATCACAGGGTTTGGTGACAGCTGTCCCGCTGTCACCAGTGACTGACTGGACCGTGGCCAGGCACACCCCGATCTCTCATCCCCAGACCTGCAAACCGTGGGTGAGGAGACCTAGGTTGTCCCCAGGAGCTCAGAGGGCTTTGGTCGCCACAGGAGATGGAGGGGGGAATAAAATGTGATAGACCATGGGGGTGTGCGAGGATGGCAAGTGGGGGGTACTCACAGCCGGCCACCAGCTCCTGGGAGGTGTGGCTGGGAAACGGGGACAAGGACGCTGCTCCTAAGGCTGTGATGATGGAGGTGACGCTCTCAATTAAGCCCAAGGCGAAAGGTATCACTCTCCATGGTGAGGCTGAGAAATCAAGCTTCTGCAGGAAGAGATGGGCTCCACTTCTGTCCTCTTCCATGGTGGGCATCCAAGCTCCTTCACAGTGGGCAACCGGTTCCTCTGTGGTGGGCATCAGGCTCCTTCATGGTGGGCATCCAGCCCCTCCATGGTGGGCAACCAGCTTCTCCATTGGTGGGCATCCAGTTCCTTCAGGATGGGCAACCAGTTCCTCCATGGTGGGCATCCAAGCTCCTCCATGATGATGGAGGTGACGCTCTCAATTAAGCCCAAGGCGAAAGGTATCACTCTCCATGGTGAGGCTGAGAAATCAAGCTTCTGCAGGAAGAGATGGGCTCCACTTCTGTCCTCTTCCATGGTGGGCATCCAAGCTCCTTCACAGTGGGCAACCGGTTCCTCTGTGGTGGGCATCAGGCTCCTTCATGGTGGGCATCCAGCCCCTCCATGGTGGGCAACCAGCTTCTCCATTGGTGGGCATCCAGTTCCTTCAGGATGGGCAACCAGTTCGTCCATGTTGGGCATCCAAGCTCCCCCAGGGATTCAAGCTCCTCCATGGTGGGCATCCAAGCTCCTCCATGGCATCCAAGCTTCTCCATGGTGGGCATCCAGCTCCTTTCCCAGTTTTCAGAGAAAACAAGGCTGCTTTTGGGGAGAACAGGTCAGCCGGGTCACCAACCCAGGGCGGAAGGTAGGAAATGACTGAGAGGTGAGAAAGAAGCCAAACCTGGTCCTTATTACACCAAACGCCGCTCTCCTGTGCCAGCTAACGCAGCCTGGGGGTGATGAGGCTGTTGCAATGATGCTGTGTTGGACGGCTGCCTCCTGCTCTGCTGACGGAGGTTGGACGTGTCCTCCCCTCATCTCCAGTGATGTTTGGACATCAGCGTCCACTGAGGTGGAGATCCCCTCCTTGGTGGGAAGACCCTGTCCTGGACCTGCTGCTCCTGGTGATGACACCATGGGGACCATGGCCATCTGGAAGCCTGGGGTTGTCTGCAGAAGCCCCAGGAGCCTCCAGCTGGGGTCTTCCCAGCATCACATTGGACGTGTCCTCCCCTCATCTCCAGTGATGTTTGGACATCAGCGTCCACTGAGGTGGAGATCCCCTCCTTGGTGGGAAGACCCTGTCCTGGACCTGCTGCTCCTGGTGATGACACCATGGGGACCATGGCCATCTGGAAGCCTGGGGTTGTCTGCAGAAGCCCCAGGAGCCTCCAGCTGGGGTCTTCCCAGCATCACATCAAGCAAGAAGGCCAAGCCAGAGGGATGTGGACCACAGGGGACCAGCCAGTGTTGAGCCATCCCTGGATCTGTCACAGGGGATGGAGAAGTGGCTGGTACAGACCACTGGGGCTCTGGGCAAGGCTTGTGATGAGGCTTCTTGAGAAATCACATCACCATGTGAGGAGAAGCCAGAAAACAGCCAGTGTCTGTGGTGGACCTGCGACGCTCACAGATAATACAACCATGGTCCATGATGGATGAGTTGTGGACAATTACAACCATAGTCCATGATAGATGGGTTGGGGACAGTAACAAATCTGGTACATGATAGATGGGTTGGGAACAGCCCATGCTGGCCTTTGAGGGGATCACCCTCACGCAGGAAGGGGATGGACCAGCTCTGAGCTTGCCCCAGGAGAGAGAAGACACTGGGACAGCCCACAAAACCCTGAGCAGCCTGGACGCTGACGCATGGCTTGTGGTTGTGCCTCATGATTCCTTGTGCTGCTGGAGGACCTGGAGGCTTCAACTGAAGCTTATCTGTGCTGTAAGGGGGGCACAGCCTCCAGACAGCAGCTGAGGACAGAGAGCTCATTAACTCCAATTAACTGGGGAACAGAAAGTTGTCCCCAGTTCGCACCAGTTGCACGGGAGCATGTGGCACATGGTGGGACCGAGGCCTGATGGCAATGGTGATGTGGCACTGGTTACCAGCTCGCATCTCCAATGGACCTGGGTGGGTGAAGACCCCACTGAGAAGCTGTGCCCCTGCTCCTCAATCACCCCGGGGGCCATTGCAGCGAGGAGTGGAGCAATACTGGGATACTGGAATTACCAGCCCTCCTCTGACTCCCAGCAGCCTGTAATTAAGCCGTGCTCGTAATGAGTTTTGGCAAAGTTTGGGTGCAGCCTGCCCGTGCGGTCCTCGTGGCACCTAGCTCCTCCCTCCCCTCCCGGGGGACCCACATATAGCAGGAGCGCCGGGAAGAGCCGTCATTCCCAACCCGCTCCCTGGCACGCTCCAAAACGTCTGCGGGATGATGAAGACCTGGACCCTGCTCATCGTCGGGGCAGGAATCACCTTGAACTGCATGGCTGGAAGTGAGTCATGGAGCACGGCTTGGGCAGAGGGGCTGAACCTGAGCATCTGATGGGAAGGGGGCAACCATGGGTTGAAAGCAGATGGTGCTGAGGGCTCGGCTGTACTGGGGCAACTGGTTCCTGCTGGTCCAAGGTTGGATGCAGCACAGCTTCACGGGGGAAAGGGTGAGGGGTGTTTTTGTGCTGGAGGGCTTCCTCCTTCGAGCTCCGGGTGGTGAGAGAAGGTTTGTCCTTTTTTGGTGGGTTGAGACCTGCCCTGTTCTTCAGCTTTGTCCACCCATTGCATCTTGCTGTGCTTTCCTGGTGCAAACCAACCTTCCTCTGGCTCCTCCATCACCCCACACTGAGGGAGGACGAAGGGAAATATTTTCCTAACACCTTCTCCACGATTGCTCCAGAGGAGCCAGTTCTGATGCAATGGAAAATGCAGCGTAAACTCAGGTGTTTTGTCCTTCACGACTGCCGAGGTCGTTACCAGAGGAGAAGGGCTTGAAGAGATGAAAAAGCTCTGACTTTAAGGCAGATGCTGCAACAAGGAGTGGCTTGTGGCCATCAGCTTTTGGCTCCCGATTGACCAGGATCCTGCACATGACGGTGCCTTCATTGCCATCTTCTTGGACAAAACGTGGCATCTCTGTGCAAGAAGGGTGTTTCATCACTTCCGATGCTGTATCTGATATTTCAGGAGCAGACGACTCCCCTCCGGTTTAATGGCAGGGAGTTTTGCAAGGCCAGTGCGGAACAGGAGCTGCTTTGGCTACAAACCAGCCACAGATTGGCCATGGTCTGGTTTAATGCGAGTTATTCTTGCTTGAAGGAATCATTAGACTTATTGTGGCTGGGCGTCTTTGCTGGTTGAGGTTGTGGTCTGTCCTTGTCACCTGCTATGGGAGCATCGTCCTGATGGACCTGTAACTCCTCCACCATGTAATGACTTTGCTTGTCCTCAGCTTGGCAGGATAGCGGTGGAAGATCTTGCCTGATTATCTCCCACCCAGCTTGCACCCAGGGTTGTTTGTGGTTTCAGGGCCCGGAAGGATGTAAATAAATATTTGGGGAGCTCACACCATCGATAGCTCTTTCATTACAAGCTAATTTGTCTTCCAAATGGGCTCTTCTAGAGACAGGGTTGAGCTTTGGTTTGTGTTTGCGCAGTGAGGTCTTGAGTTGGGCCAGAGATTCCTGGCTGTAATTCCTGGTCATGTCCCAAAATGGAGCTGGGAGCTGCTGGGAGGGCTCCGTTGTGTCTCGGACGTTTCCCCACACCTTGGTGAATGGAGCGGCTCAGGAAACAGCCCGCGTTTTCTCAGTCAAAACTCTTTTGGCAGAAACAAAAATGAGTTTGTTCGTTTCCCAAAAAGCTGCACTCGAGGAGGGACAGATCTGGCTGAAGGGCTAAAAATGAGGAAGAAAGATTTGTCTGGCACTGTGCAGCCAGAAGATATCTCCTCAGATATCAATGAAGTGGTTGAATGTGGATGCTGGCTGTGTCCTCCTGCTCTGACCTCATCTCCTGGCTGCAGCATTGCCAGCGCTCTCCAAAAACCTCCATCAGCCCCTCCAAACCTGGCCGTCATCACCAGTGGCCAGCAGCTCTGAAGCTATTGAGGTTCACGCCTGCGTGAAGAGGATGAAGCTGGGCCGTGCAGGGGGAAGCCTTGGCACCCTCCAGCTGAACCCCCAGGGATCTGGCTGAAGGGCTAAAAATGAGAAAGAAAGATTTGTCTGGCATTGTGCAGCCAGAAAATATCTCCTCAGATATCGATGAAGTGGTTGAGTGTGAATATGCTGGCTGTGTCCTCCTGCTCTGACCTCATCTCCTGGCTGCAGCATTGCCAGCGCTCTCCAAAAACCTCCATCAGCCCCTCCAAACCTGGCCGTCATCACCAGTGGCCAACAGCTCTGAAGCTATTGAGGTTCACGCCTGCGTGAAGAGGATGAAGCTGGGCCGTGCAGGGGGAAGCCTTGGCACCCTCCAGCTGAACCCCCAGGAAATGGGGTGATGATGAGACCCCAGGAAATGGGGTGATACTGAGCTCCCAGGAAATGGGGTGATGCTGAGACCCCCCCCAGGAAATGGGGTGGTGCTGAGACCCACCAGGAAATGGGGTGATGCTGAGACCCCCCCCAGGAAATGGGGTGATTCTGAGCCCTAAGGACCCCAGGGCTCTTCCAAGGACCCCACAAGGCTCCTGTCCATGGCTGAGTCACCTTGCACCCCGGTTTCGGTGCTTTGCTGCGACACGCTCTGCCGGCACGTGTCCCCGGACTGGGAACGTCTCAGTGGTGATTGATGTGTGGGCAGCTCCTGCCTTGCACAATCCCTCTGGGGTTGCAGCTGGAAAACCAGCCTGGATGCGTGATTCAGGCTGAGTTATCCCATTCTGGGAACGAGAGGGATGCCAACCCCATCAGAGCTTCAGAGCTGGCTGCTCTTTGCGTGGACTGGTGAAACTGAGGTGTCTGGACACCATGGGCATCACTCACCACCCAAACCATGCGATGCTGCTTCTCTCTGAAGCCCTTCCCAGTTCTCCCTGCAAAGGTGGGACTGAAGTAGCACCAAGAGCAGATGGCCTCCAGGAGCACCTCAAGCAACCCCTTTCTACCAAAGCCACTCTTGCTATAAAGTGGATTTGCAGAAAAGGAGCTGGTGGCGAGAAGCAGGGTGCCCTTGTTTGGCTGGTGGGGCAAAGAGGTTCTTCCTCTTCATCATCACATGTGAGACCTTCATTATGTGACTCCAAAAACTGCAAATAACTTGGGTGAAATGCCTGACAACTGAGCGGGTGCAGAGAAGCCAGCAAGCGTGACATCTAGAGGTCACTCTCATCGCTGCCGCACTGAGATTTGCCCCCAGGGCTTGTTTCATCGGCTGGAGTTCAAGGCAGGCGAAGCAGAGCTGTTTAAGACGTTGCATGATTGCAGGTTTGCAAGGGAAAGCACCACCCTTTCCTCCGGCGGTCGCTTTGCAGCTCGGCTGGGACGTGGCTTCAAAGCACGTCCTTGGAGATGGTCGCTTTCCTGGCTGGAGCAAAGGGATGCTGGGAAAGCCACGTCCAGGCTGTGCGTCATCCCGTTTCTCCCATCAGGAGCTGGTGGGCAGCACGGAGGATGGGGCACCTTCCCTAAATATGCAATTTTGGGCTTTATCTTAGTACAAACCCAACAGCTCCTGCTTGATGGCAAGTGTCCATCGTCCTTCCGAGACGCGGCGCTATTCAAAGCACAGCTTGAGCTGTCACATTATTTTTAGCATTGCCACCGTGTGTAATAAAGCACATGCTCAACGACATATTTAACGGATAAGTAGCTCAGGAAGGAGCTCCTGGTTTTCCCAGCATCGCAGAAAGAGGTTGCAAAGGGTGTCAGGAATGTGGCGCTCCTCCTCCATCCCGGAGATGGTGGGACCTGGGGCACTGCTGGCATTAAAGGGGTGAATCAGAAGCAGCAATTAATGGTGGAGAGCCAAGAATGTGATTCCTGGTGTCAAGTGGCCCTTGACGTGGTGGACGTACACAGCAGAAGAGGAGTGACCCATGGAGAGGTGCATCCTGAGGATCCGGCCGGTCGAAACACCGCCCCTGAACAAAGGATCCCAGATCTCTCCAGGGCAGGAGCTTGGTCCTTCAGGGTCTCCCAGGAGGCGATCATGGGCTGAAGGAAGGATGCTCTGGGGTCGTGGACTGAAGGAAGGTTGCTCTGGGATCGTGGGATGAAGGAAGGACGCTCTGAGATTGTGGGATGAAGGAAGGACGGTCTGGGGTCGTGGGATAAAGGAAGGATGCTCTGGGGTCATGGGATGAAGGAAGGATGCTCTGGGGTCATGGAATGAAGGAAGGATGCTCTGGGATCATGGGCAGAAGGAAGGATGCTTTGGGGTTGTGGACTGAAGGAAGGTTGCTCTGGGGTTGTGGACTGAAGGAAGGTTGCTCTGGGATCGTGAGATGAAGGAAGGACGCTCTGGGGTCATGGAATGAAGGAAGGATGATCTGGGATCATGGGATGAGGGAAGGATGCTCTGGGATCGTGGCATGAACAAAGGATCCTCTGGGGTCAGGGGGAGAAGGAAGGATGCTTTGGGATCATGGGCAGAAGGAAGGGTGTTCTGGGATCGTGGGCTGAATGAAAGATGCTCTGGGATTGTAGGATGAAGGAAGGATGCTCTGGTGTCATGGGCTGAAGGAAGGATGTTCTGGGATCATGGGCTGAAGGAAGGATGCTCTGGGGTCTTGGGCTGGCCAGGGCAGGGTGTTGGGTCCATCCCGAGGACCACACCATCGTTTCTCAACCCCAAAGACCTGTACACGGCCCCTGACTCCTGTGAGGGACGCTGCGGGGAGCCCTACAACGAGGAGGACGAGTGCCATTGCGACACCGACTGCGAGAGGCACCACAGCTGCTGCGAGGATTACTACAGGCACTGCTGGCCTGGTGAGCATCCCATGGTGACAGGGGCCTGGGGGGGCTGCTCTCCTTCTGGGCCTCATGTGCATTGGCATGTGAGGCCCTGAGGAACCCCCAACCCACGTCTCCATCACTCTGAGCTCCTTTTCCATTTGGATCCATGCAGGTGATGAGTGGACAGAGACTGCAGCTCACACCCGTGGTGAGTAACTCTGCTTCTGAGCCATGTTCTGGCAGGGCGAGCTGGCATTTGTGGCCACCGCACACCTAAAATTTGGAGGGCCCTGACCCCAGAAGTGTCACAAAGAGCAGTGCTGTGCCCAGGAGACAGAGACTGGTGCTTCCCAGCTCCCTCAGAGCTTAATGAAAGGCTCCAGTGCCTGCAGCGCCATGGCCAGCCCCTGTCCCCAGGGCATGGGGTTGGTGTGGATTGGGACCCCCCCTGCACCCCTTAACCCTCTGAGCACCCAGCTTTTGGAGCGTCCCAGGATTGTGACACCCGTGCGTGGATGCAGCACTGGGTGCTGACACCCGTGTATGGGTGCAGCATTGGGTGCTGCATCCCCCTCGCCGCTGCCCGCTCCTGCCAGCCCCTCCCTGTCCTTGCAGAGGGCTTCTCCAGCAGCCGCGATGCCATCACCGACGAGGATCTCCTGCGCATCTCGGAGCAGCTTTACAAGGCGGACCACAACAAAGCCAAAATGACCGACATCGTCCTCAACCCCCAGTACCAGGCTTCCCCCGACGAGACGGGTGACCAGGAGGACCGGTCCCCGCAGCCGTGAGTGCCCATCAGCATCCTCAGGAGGTGGCCAAGGGCCACCATGGCACAGAGCATCGAGCCAGGGCTGGGTTTGGGGTCAGGAGGATGGGACGAGACTCTTCTTGGTTGCAGCCAGTGACAGGACAAGGGGCAATGATCACGAACTGGGACATGGAAGGTTCAACCTAAACATAAGGAAAAGCTTCTTTACTGTGAGAACATGGCCCAGGCTGTGGAGAAGTTGTGGGGTCTCCTTCTCTGGAGACATCCAAGCCCCTGGGTGTTCTTCTCTAGCAGGATGAGATGATCTCCAGAGGTCCAACTCCTGACATGCTGTGATTCCCTATTGAGTGCAGGATCCCCTCTCTCCCAGGCTCTACAAATACGTCAACGAGGAGCTCTTCTCCAAACCCACCTACGCCAGCTTCATTAAGCTGCTGGATAATTACCAGAGGGTGACGGGCAGGGAGGAGGAGGTGACGGCGGAGGAGCTGCGGGAGCAGGACAACTTCCTCAAGGAGGTGATGAAAACCGAGCTCATGAAGAAACTCTTCGCCTTCCTCCACAAAAAAAGTGAGTGTGGAGCAGGGCAGGGCTGACCAGGGTGAAATGGGACCCTTTGGGGACCCGAAAGGAAAGCCCCAGTTGGGTGGGAGTATGCAGACTGGGGTTCTCAACCCTGCTCCCACCCCTCCATCTCTCCACCTCACCTGCAGACCGCTACGGCTCCGAGCAGGAGTTCATTGCTGATCTGAAGGAGATGTGGTTCGGGCTCTACTCCAGAGGCGATGGTGAGCAGGACTCCAGTGGCTTCGAGCACGTCTTCTCAGGTAGAGCCCGCACCAATGGGATGGGGAGTGCTGGGCAGCACCAGGATGGGGGGCTCACCCCGGGGTCTTGCTTGTGTTTAGGGGAGGTGAAGAAAGGGAAGGTGTCTGGGTTTCACAACTGGATCCGCTTCTACCTCCTGGAGAAGCAGGGCATCGTCAACTACTTCAGCCACAACTTCAATGGGCCGGTAAGGGATCCCATGGGGTCATCATCATCATCAGACATATCCCAAATCGACCACATCCCAGATCAGCCACATCCTAGATCGGCCATATCCCAAATTGGCCATATCCCAGATTGGGCATATCCCAAATTGAGCATATCCCAAATCATCCATATCTCAAATTGGCCACATCCCAAATCATCCATATCTCAAACTGGGCATATCCCAAATCATCCATATCCCAAATCGGCCATTTCCCGGATTGGATGCATCCCAAATCAGCCATATCCCAAATAAACCATAACCCAAATCAGCCACATGCCAAATCAGTCATATCCTAAATCGGCCACATCCCAGATCGGCCACATCCCGAATCAGCCACATCTCAAATCAGCCGCATCCCAAATCAGCCACATCCCAAATCACCCATATCTCAAATTGGCCACATCCCAAATCGGCCACATCCCAGAGGGGCTGAATCAGAAACATCGGTGATGCTCTTCCTGCCACGTCCCCTCTGAGAACCCTAGGATGGAGGCAGGGTGGGAAAGTCCAGAAAAGATGACCCAAGGTGCAAAAGGGGCTCCCAAACCACAAACAAGAGATTTGGGGTTGGGGGCTCTGTCTGGTTCCCCCCCCAAAACTGCTCTGAAGAGGATGTGAAAGATGCCTGTCTTCATATGCAGACGGGGTTTGCTTGAATCCTCTGCACCCAGAAGTGGAGGCAGAGGTCTGAGCCCTGTCCCCCCTTTTTCCCCAGTGGGACACCTACCCCGACGTACTGGGGCTCCAGTTCAACTGGGACGGCTTTTACAAGGAGGTGGGCTCTGCCTTCATCGGCAGCAGCCCCGAGTTTGAGTTCGGCCTCTACACCTTGTGCTTCATCGCACGGCCGGGGAGGGCGTAAGTACCACGTTTGTCTGCATCCATCTGTCTGCATCCGTCTGTCCGTCCTCTGTCTGTCTGTCTCTGGCTGTGGAGCCAGCAGTGCCTTCCTGAGCCCTGTGTCAGCCCCTGAACCCAGTACAGCACTGAGGCATCACTGGTGGGAGGACTGGGATGGAGCAGGACCGGTGTGGGAACACGGAGCCCCCCACATATGCAATTTTGGGGCTCAGGGATGGCGCAGGGCTGTGACACAGGCTGTGTCCCCGCAGATGTCACCTCAGCCTGGGTGGCTACAGCCTCAGCATCCAGACCTACACCTGGACCAAGTCCACCTACGGTAACGGCAAGAAGTTCATCGCCACCGCCTATGTGATCTCACCCTGAGCTGGGAGCAGGTGGGGGGACCACAGCCCCACTTTGGGGACCCCCAGCACTGGGCAGGACTGGTCTGGCTGTGGAAGGCCACGCTGCAGGACCAGTGCAGGGAACTGGAAGGAACTGGGCAGACTGGTGGCAGCCATGCCCTGTGTGGAGGCAGGAAGGGGATGGAGGCAGCAGCCATGGCCCCCCTAGCCCCATTGTCGCAGCAGAAGAGCAAGGGAAGGGAGAAGTGGAAAGCAGCACCCCCAAGTGAAATAAATACTGACCCTGGATGGATGGAGAAGGGTTGGATGCTTTGGTGCTGGCACTGCAGCCCCCCATTCCCTGCACAGCGGTCCTATAGCTGCAGGGTGATGGGAAGGGCTCTTTTGGGGGTCCCAAAGGGCAGGGGATGGCTGAAACCCCCCAGAACTGAGACCCCATCCTCATTTATCTCCAGTGCTTCCAGTGGGTGACACCTGATTGCCCTGGGTCTACTGGTCTGGGACACTGGAGGGGTGAGGATATTGGGGACAGTGGGGTCCTGCCACCATCTGTGTCACTTACCCCTCCAATGTGGCACTCCAGACTCATCCCTCACCCTCCTGTATCCACCCCAGTGCCCAGTTTCTCTCACTGCTGCCTCTGACCCTGGAGGCTGCTTTGGGGTCCTGCCCCCTGGGACCCCCAACTCAGGGACCCAGGAGACCTCCGAGCTGCAGCCCCCTGGGTCCCTGTCCCAGCGGCAGCCCCCCCTAGGGCCCATCGCCAGGCAATTGGGGGCTGCAGTGGGAGCATCCTTCATCTTCCCCAGCTGTGCCCTCTCCGGAGGCCACAGGTCCCCAGAGCCCCCCCAGCCCAGCACCCAGAGCTGGGGCTGCTCAGAGCTCCAGGTGCTGTCTGGGAGTCAAACTGGGGATGGACTTGGCCATGGGACCCCCCAGGATGCCCCCCAGCATCCCTCCAGTCACTGCGCCCCAGGGTGGCCCCAGAGAATGATGTCCCCCTACCCAAGATGTGACAGGGACCCCACCAACTCCATCACTGCCAAAGATGCACTGGGATCTCTTAATCCCCCATCCTCAGCCCCATCCCCTCCTTTACCCCTCAGATTTGGGGGGCAGGACAGCCACCAACTCTGTCCCAACTCCTCCACTCCTGTCTGTGGCCCCTCTCCCCTCTTGTCTGCGCCCCCTCCCAGCAGCACAGGCAGCAGCACGGGGC